AAAGTTTCAAAATCTGTTGGTAAATACCTATCACAACATTACGCTTAAGAGTTTTGAAAAATTGGCACTTCTGCATGACATTAGACAACAGCAATCTTAGATTGATGATATCTTATATTATGTGACTCTCAACTTGTTGATTCATTTGAGCAATAACCCTGACATATACGATTCAAAAATACCATGTTTATTTATATATTGTATTTACACGATTGATTTCTAGACATTTGTCATTTAATAACATAATTAGTATTCCTATTAAATACCAAACACATTTTGTTCTACTCTTGAACGATCTCGGTCTCTCAACTTGAATACATTCCATTATCTCTTACGCCTATCAGTATATGTAGGAATATAACAGTACTTATTAAACTTATAAACTGTATTGATTTTGTATCATAATATCAATAGACAAGAGCAACTTTGTTCTCTGTTTYCGCTCTGTAATCATAGACACCACCAACATTATTCTGAAATTTAATTTCTGACTTGAGACGAAATTTKTTGTGCGATCTTATTATATACGTATCGGTTGTCGGCGTCGACTAGATGTATTCAAATATTCCACACGGCGCAATACATGGAAGAAGCTGAACTAACTTTCTTAAATTATATGGTTTGTTACGTAGTCTGCCTTGTATTTGTGTCTTTAAGACGGGTGAAAGTACCAACAAATCTGCTTAAATGAAATAACGTGCACAATATAATCTATCCTTCGGTAGCTCAGTTGGTAGAGCGGTGGACTGTAGTGGCGTTAAATCACAGATATCCATAGGTCGCTGGTTCAAATCCGGCCCGAAGGAATTGTTTTTTATATTTTAAAATCTAAAACACGTTTGATCGTTACTTTTATTGGGGTGATTATTTATTCGTAGTTTATTTAATTACTCAAATATAGCTGTTCAATATCAAGCAAACTATGTTCGTGGTGATTTTAAACGGCGTTCGCTACTCAAAAGTAAGGTACGCGTGAAACCACGTTTTGAAGTCACCAAACTATTTTTTAGTATTTAATTACAAAGTCTTGTTAAAATCCTAAAATATTTGGTCAATAATCAAGAACTATTTGTCAAACCGAGTTTTTCCAATATTCGTAGTTGTAGTGCCCACCGTTGTCTCTGTGCTACACATAATAGATAATATGATCTACCAATTATTGATAATTTTATAAATTAAACCATAGACTTATTATATTTTAACCGTAGACTAACCATTACGAGTTAATTCATAATATCTATTAAAAATATTTTTCTTTGTAGAGTACTTATATTGGAAAATGTAAGTAATTTCCTCAGAGCTATAGATAGGTACCTAATAATATGTGGCTATTATACAATAAAATTGTCGAATTTATACTATCATAAACAGAAAATAATTAAACGAAATAAATACATTTTGTAATATTCACTATAATAATATCATTATGTTATATTTAAYTTATGTCATGTCCACAAATTATTACATAATATTTTCTTCAGCCAACAAAGCAGTTGGCAATATTTTATTTTTGAACTCGAATCCCTTACATTGTATTTATAATGTATAATTTACTAATTTACAGACACAATCTGTGATAACAATAAGTTAAATCAGTGGTTTTAATTATGTTGCAGATAGTAAGTTATGCCTAGCAATAATAATCTATATCCTATAACATGRGATGTATTTATTGTATTWGAAATGTAATGTTATTGTTATTTGTGATATAGAATACGTGAATAAGCAAGAACATATCAAATTAATTATAGTAAATTAATCATTTCAAATTCTGAGTGGAGCTGAAAATGTATTGATGTTAGTGGATTTTACAATGATGCATATTTAAAAAAATAATTTATTTGCACCTTTCAGGGATACTAAAAATGATTCAATTTAATACTCTAGCATCTTTACTAATAAAATATATTTAGTTGATATTTTGAGGAGGWCAAAAGTAAAATATACTAAGTGGTTTCCAAAAGCGCTGGGAAAAACTATAAAAAAAAAAAATAAAATAACAGAGAATTTACCTCCTGTAATAATCTGATGGAATAACTAAATAACCTTGCTGAATAAAGTATACAGAGTAATTTTACCAAGTATATGTTCAATCTAATTTTTTCTTTAAAAATTAATTAATTCAAATTACGTTTTTGAATTTTTACCTATCTACTTTCTTTAATTCAAATTCTTAAATCTGTTTGTTCTAGGTATTTAAAAAAGTACCTTGTAATACTACGAACTTGTATTTTCCCTCTCTTTTTAGTGTAGGTACATTATTTATTGGATCTTTTTTTTTAACATAGATGTAGGTATAAAAATTTTAACGAGTAGTTTCTCAGTTACCTATTCAAATATTTATTCTTAAGATAATAGAATTGTGTACATCACATATATTTTTTTACAATATGATACTCAATACTCAATGATAACAGTACAAAAAAAATGTTTTTACAAAAAAATAAAGTTAATATAATATATTGAATCTAGTAAGTACCTATTTTTATACTATAGGACTAWTTTTACGAATAATCAATGTTGAGGGTTTAATATTAACCACTAAATTGTTAAAATCACCATAGCTCTCATATCTATCAGGCCAGTTATCACAAAGTTAAAAAAATAACTCAAAAACTACTTGTTCAAAATTTGATTACCTACCTCAAAATGTTCTGAAAAAATTATTTGCTTAATTGTGAAAAATGTGTTTTTCATTATTTAGACAGAAGTTTGTTGCAGGAGACTCATTAGTAAGTACCTACGAAGTACAAAAAAGCTCAATAATTTCAAAATATGGTTTTTAAGTATATTTAAAATTTCTTAAAATCAGATTTTGAATAGGTATTGAATAATATTGAAGAAAAAAATAGGGTGAGTACTGAGGAATATAGTGATAAATTTTGTACAGTATGATCATAATGATAACCATTTACGCACGATTTTAGTGGTGAATCGCGTTCCAGACAATTATCCATCAGAAAGATTACACCCTCACGCCTTTTGTGTGCACTTGAAGACGACGTTACGTTGAGTCGTCGCTACGTATTCGTTTTTATTGTTCAAATGTTTCACTTAATAAGTCGATAGATTATCATTTAATTTTCTCCTTAAAATCCCCTACTCGATTGTTTGAGACACACAGTCGTCACACCACCGCTGTGTCATTCGCTCAACCATTCGTTCTGGAACGTTGGCGATATAAATTTGCAACGGCTGGTCGGGTGACCATTAATTGTCTCGTGCACGTCTCAGCACGCGGTCGGTTGAGCACAGTAGAAAATAAGTAGGTACAAGATTGAAGATAGTGTCTCGTGAAACCGTGTACATGTYGAACGACMGTAATATTCATAAATTATTATTTTCCATAGTATACYCACATGTTTTAATTTTCAACTGAACGACTCAATGCGTGTACAGAACTGCGTTTTATGGTTTTACTTTAATGATTGTATTTTTATCGTTTTTTCTACTGATAACAATCATAACAGATCTTCTGCACACGGATCACGCAGTCGATACAACTTGTCCTGYTCGAATCATGTCACCTGCGGACAGATCACTTACGGCATTCCGCGTAGCTTTGGCCACGTTATTACTCGCCAACGCAGCATACGCGTCAAAAAGAGTAAGATCATAATATATAATATATAAAAGTGTTATTTTTATTGAAATGTCCTTTGAAAAGCCAAAAGTGCGTTTAAATATTCATAACACGGTTGTCATTTCTGGAAAATTTGCCACATCAACACTTTAACTCAGATTTGTACATAAAATCATCAAAACATAGTGGGTGATTTTTATGAATTTTAATATTCTGTTATTGTACACCAACCTTTGAGTTATTTTAAGTGTTAGATAAGGGTATAATATAACTATTTATATTGTACAATCTTATGAATCTTTATTTGAGCTTATTTTATTTAGTTTATTAATTAATTATAATATTTCGAATAATTGGCATTACTATTTTTTTATAAAAATGCAATTTATTTACTAAATGATTATCTAGTGAATATTGATCATTGTTATTATTATAATAATAATAACATACATTTCTTAAATTATCGTTCTGTGGAAACACTGGAAACAGATCAGATATTCCTCATTATACTTATTCGTTATAACTTTGTAATAATAACTATTAACATTTATTTTTGGAGTGTCAGCGAGTTTTTTTTAGTTATTGTTTGAAAATAAAATTTGGACTTCAGTTTTAAAAATTATATTGTTTTAAAATACATAAGGCTATAGAAATAAAACATCTGATAAAAATGACGTATTGTTAAGAGTCGGTCCCACCGTTACTTTTTCATTTGGACTAATTTTTCTGTCCCATTTTTCAAAATATATAATCAGTWATCACAATATATAGAACGATCACATGATWAAAACGAACGTAACATAATACAATAGTAGAATATTTTTCAATTTTTATTGTGTAGATATACGAGTATATTGCTGTTTAAGTATTACATTATATCATTAAAATTTATTATGTAGGTACTTATACAATATATGTTTTCTCGTATGCATTATTTTTATATTTTAATTTTGGTTTTTATCATCAGAATATCAATTTTTATCTATTTATAAATTATCTATATCAATATAAATATTGAAATACATTAATTAATTAATAAAAAAAAAAAAACTATGAGTGTGTACYCAAACTTTTTTAATAGATTTTAAAGATACCCAGCTTTTCTGAAAATGAACAATTTTGAGCAAAGATTTACTGATGAACTGGTAAGATTTTATTCTTAAGTTTAGGACAAAAAAAAATATTACGATTTTTTTTCATTTATTCTATTCACTCTTATTATTTCATTATAGATTAATTTTTGAGATAATTAATGGATTTAAGAGGTTTTAACAACCAAATGTTTTGTCTTTGTCTTACAAACATACATCATATCAAAAATGCTTATTCAGAAACAAAAGTTTTAGTTTTAAATACTTTAAYATTATAGACTAAACTTATCTATTATTAAAATATCAAGGATAAGAAAATACTCAATAGACACATACAGAAGTTCGACCGTAAAGATCAATTCACTCASCACAAAGTTGGTTCTATTTCTCGTTGTACTAGTTGTAAGACGATATCAATACAAAATAATTTACAATGGCACAATTTTAAAAATTTCAAAATAATTTACTTAAAATGTGACTAAAATAGCTGATTTTTGGATAGAATATAGTTAATTTAATAATTCAAATAATTTTTAGTAAATTCGTTTCCTTTTCGTGATATTCCAATCTGGCTATTTACGTAAGATACCTACAGTAGACTATTATGACTTTTGTGGCTATGAAATAAGCGCCAATCTAATATTGTATACCTGTTGGCTATTATACCAAACATATTATGACATAAGCGCAAAAGGTGTAAAAATTACATATCATTTGCGTCAAAATTAATATTTTATATAAGTAGTTATTTAAAAATTTTTATCTTATAAAAAATGATATTACATTAAAAATGGTCAATAATAAATTTTTAAATTATAATAAACAATAAACATGTTAATCAATATCAATTTAATATATTGGTAGCGGTTTTATAAAAAAATTACAATAATACATTGTTAAAATATAATATACGTGCAAATAAATATAAATTTAATAAATTGGTTAGTTCTAAATTTAATATCTGCTATCTAATGTATTATACTAACCGTGGCACACAGGTACCTAGGATCCTGGCACTTATGTACTATACGATTTTGGTGCTTTTGTACGATACGACTTTTTTTTCTCATCTCATTTTGGAGCTTATATCTTTCACCAGARTACCAGACTCTAGTATACTTATCACAAGTAGCTATCCTTAACTCTAAAGTATTGGGATTAGGAAATAATCGTCATAAAATGTATTCATTAGAAACAAACTTATTTTAAAATTAAATTAGAATTTTATTTATATTAAATTACTTTTAAACTCTATGTTTTAAATTTGAATGATTTTCTTCTACAGCAAAAGCGTCAGCTATTCCATGAAAACTTATTACCATACTTTGGTGGTAAAATACCCGAGTCTGCGTTCCAGGCAGACCGCTTGGCACTAAATATGTTGAATAAAGAAGGAATATCCGTGCCCGATGGTATTCTGTTTGAAGCTCGGCCAAGAGAATCATTTCATCAAAGTCCACGGAACGATCCAGAACTATCCAACTCAATACTCAAAATGATTCACACTCCAGATGGCAGGTAAACAATAGAACATACAAATACAAATGTAACAACAGGGCCTATACAATACAATGTCATTTTCTTAATAAATGTGAAGTATCATGATACCTATGTATATCAATATCTATTCCAGCATCTAATGTCTAATATATATATATATATATATAGCATATTTTCCAAAAATTTACAGTTCATCAAAATGAAGTATTGATACTAAAGCTTTAATTGATTTTTTGATGAATTTTGTGTTTTAAGAGAAGAGTAAATGTGTTTTAGAAATTGAGAACTTACTACAATCAATCCTTTATTACCAATTCAACTGTGGTCTGTGTAACACTGTTATCTTATAGGTATATTTTAGTGGCCTTTCAACCCTGATACTCAAGAGAAGAGTTTCTAAAAGCGGTGTCATACCATTTTAAATCGTAATTTCCATATGTGCAATTATTAATATTTATTTGCTAGTTGATATTTAATAAAATTATTTTTAATAAATTAAATATGTATATTTCGTATTAAAAACATATTATTTTCATAACAATTACATAAGGGTTATTAAATATTAAGTATTATAATATTTATCAATGCTACATTAGAAAACATTTTACTTTCCTCGATGCCCAAAAATTATATACATATATTTATACATATCCTATTATATTATCTAGTATTGTAGGCATCTACTAAAATAGTAATTTTTTTATGAATTCAGGATAATCCTGAATCATAATCAGGTGTAGCGTTTCAAGTCAAGTTTTATGTCTTGAAATTAGGTATATTCCTTCAGAAGGAAAGTTCGATGGTAATAACGAAGTGGAGACAACGTATAAGATCCCAATACCCACATACATGCAAAATTATCAACTACCGAAGTTTAGGCCGGTATCAGAAACGTTTCAACTACCAATCCGGCAGGTATACGAAAACGGATTGTCAATCACCAACTTAAGAGGGCGATTAAGAATTCCTTTCAACACTATAACAAAGGTAAATCATATGTAAAATTATGTTCTCTTGTTCTGTATGGTTTTTTTCTAATTATTACTTTCACTTTTCATCGACGCACCTGACTCCATTTTYCATAATTTTTTAATACATGTTTATTAAACATTGCTTAATGTTTTACGATTTCTATTCCAATATTATACTCTTCAAGCTATACTTACTTTTGAGCTATTTGCAAAGCTTTACCTTTTTCATTTATCTTACACTGTGCACAGTGCACACTCTAACTGATTTATAAATATTTGTAAAATATAGACCAAAGCCCAGAATTGACATAATTTAATTTTTCAAAGAATTTACAAATCCATAATGTAAATAAATAATGATATTATATTGAACAAATATCTTATGAATAAACGAACTGTATTAAAAACCTCTACCAAAACATTAACATAATATTAAAAATGTTTTAAACATTAATTTATGATATTTTAAAAATAAATTAAAATATATTTTTTCATTTATTTGTTTTTAGTTGAACTTTTTGATAAATTTTAAATTTGAATACAACTTTGTCTCGTTTTTTTTTTTTATAATTAAAATAATATTATCTATAGAAGGTAAATTATTTAATTCAAAAATATTGATTTATTCGAAACGTATTGTTAACCTACTGTTTATGAATTGTCTATACTTAAAATTTTCTATGAACAATATACCCATCTAAATAAAAAAAAGCTCCTATATAATATATATTTTAGTTATCTTAGTGTTTTTCACCATGCACGCTCAACTCATTGTACGAATGGATGCATTACATTTAATATGAGTACTATTATTAAACCATCATTCTATAATATTAYACATTATAATGAGTTTCCCATTTTCAGTTTATTTAAATGAAAATAATTGACTACAAACATTTTAATTTAACTTTAATATATGAACTAAATAAATATATTGTATCTGGCTTGCGTATAAAAATCGAATATTTTGAATTTAGCTACCTATATTAATATTATTTTAAAGTACATATGTGTATAGTCAAGTTCACACTCAATGAAAAATAGGCTTAGACTCATACCCTGAAAATAATTTTGGCCTTTAACATTTTGGTAGTTTTATTAGGTATTGACTTAAAATAATCATATAAAAAAATGATAAAATATAGAACTAAGATCGTGAACAAATGTGATTTCAAATAGTTGTAAATAATTGTATATTGAATGATTCACAAATATTATTGAAACTAACGAAATATGATGGATGACATCATCCATAACAATTATAAAATATCATGAAATACACATTAACCGAAATCACTTCATCCAGAGTACAAAATATAATAATATAGACGATATTCATGTATAATAAATTAATYGCCTAATATTTTTTGATAATCCTTATTCACGTATTGTTGAAAAAATTATTTATTTATTATATAATTACAAGTATTTATAGTGGTTAAAAKCAGATATTTTTATATTTATGAATTTATATTCCTAACCTAATTTTCCGATGCATTTTTATCWWGATAAACATTATTTTATAGTTAGGACRTCCAACTTAGAATAGAAACAAAACATTAACCTAACATACCTATTTTACCATGTAACACATACACACATATATTATAATGCTATAATGATTTGATCAGAGTCATTACTCAATTTCCTATATCATGTGTCAAATTGAACTGTGGAGTACTGAATGGTAAATATTATTGTATGTCTGTAAATAGTTGGAATATCTGTTAATAAAATGGATCAACAAATATTTTCACTTCAATCAACAATCAGCACACGCGTGACAAACTCGTAACCTTCAGTCTTTGGCGTGTCGTTTATAAACTATCTGTCTAATAGAAGACAAGAACAGGCACAAAACATAGCCTGTCATTTTCCAAAAGAGTTTAGGTAACRGTTTATAGATTATAAGCCTATACGTTCGATTTATTTTTCTAGTGCTTTGTGCGCCAATACGTCTCTTGATATAGTTTTATTTTTCCTGCAGAGATTTAAAAAAAAAAAGAAACTATAATAGCTTATAATATAATAAATATATATATTATTTATATATAAAAATTATAAATGCTATTAAGATAATGGGGTGGGACTGTGAAAGTAATAGGAAATTGCACAATGGCAGTATAAACAGTTACCCAGTATTAATCATTTTATCAATCACACTAAAAAAGTACTGCACGGGGAAATTGAAAAATAATAGTCCTTAAGAGGATGCTACACCCACATGTATTGTCTCCGTCTTACAAGTGCGCGACATACCAAATTTTACACTCAGCAGATCACATTTAGCTCCGTTAGTTTAAAATTTAAAGTGAATTGACCGCTTATACAAATTAAAGGTAACATTATTATGGAGGGCA